TGTCATACTCCCTTTGAAGCCTATCCTTGTGCTTCCAGGTACGATAGTAGGACCATCATGTAAAAACAAGAGGAAAATTCACTTGCTTACCTGATGTCGAACCCGTATCAACAAACCCCAGTTTAAGAACATATGGATGTTCCTATGGTAAATTTACCTGGTTGCCTAATGTTGACCCCATATCAATAAACCCCAGCTTATCAATAGGGGGATGTTCCCCTCCACAAGTGATGACTTCCCACTAAACCCAAGGACCCCATCAACACACTGGGGTGGATAAATATGGCGTCTGCATTACGCCGGAAGCACTGGGTACAGCAGAATCAGCCAGCGTCAGACCCCCCTCCCTCTCACGTCTTGCACGCCCTGAGCTCTCGGCTCGAAGACGCGGTGCTCCACCACCGCTTGGCCCAGCTGTCGGTACCAGGGATGATCCGCGTCCTCGTCGCTCCTTTTCTTCGAAGGCGCGAGAAAAACGCGCAGGCGGGCGAGCGGAGGAGAGGTTCAAAATTCCGAGCGCCAAGGGCTGGGCCTAGATCTCGGGTGACCCCTCTGGTGAGTAACCAGCCATCTTCCCTTTGGTTCAAAAGCCCAAGGTCTGCACCCAGAGGATCTCAGGTCTGTGGTGACAGTCATCTTCCTTTGGGCTTTTGAAGGGTGGGGTACCTTCCATTTCCATTCTGAACCCAGGGATCCGAATCTTTTTAGAAAACCTCCGGAAACCTTGGTTTTCGAAAACGGATCCGGTTTTTGGAAAGAACGATGCCTGAAAAGAAGGGACAAGGAATCAAGGAATCAAACCCTAGAATACCACAACCTTCAGAACATGCCACCCCCAGAGTGAGCAACCAGTCATTTTCCCTTTGGTTCAACAGCCCAAGGTCTGCACCCAGAGGATCTCAGGTGACCCCGATGGTGAGTGACCAGGCATCTTCCTTTGGGTTTTTGAAGGGTGGCAAGGTCTTGGTGACCTGCTTAACAGGCAAAGGATCCACGGAGAATAAAGGGGGCAGCCCTGGGTCTGGGTGACAACGGCTTCTTGGGCAGTGCTTAATTCGGAAATTTGGACATGCGCGCAAAAGCAGGGAGTTGTGTGTGGTGCTGGTTGGGGTTCAGTGCAAGCTCTGTCCCGATCCGGTGAGTCTATCCAAAAAATGTTGGCCATAGGACTGGGTGAACGATCATATTTCACCCACCTTGGGGTGAAAAAACGGCCGTGTGAGGTCCTTATAATTCACCCAGCTAATACGCAATCCTTTCGATTTACCCACCAAATGAAAGCCCCCCCCCCCCCCGAAGTGGATGACCCCCACCCTACTCAGGAGACTCCGCCGAGAAGCTCGAAGAGCTGCGCGAGGTTCCGGTGCTCCTTCAGGAAGTCCCGGAACTCGTCGCGGATCACCTACCCAAGGATCCAAGGAGGCGGGGAGGCGTGCGCGCTTGGGCGAAGCTTCCGGGCTGGAAAGGTTCTCAGAACCTTGGGGCTGCATAGAAGGGCTAGGAGGGGGTTCTGAGAGCCGAGGTTCATAGATTGGTTTGGGAGTGGGGGTGGGCTAGTCCAGCAAGAAAATAGCTCCAACTTGGCCGTGGCTGGCGGGGGGGGGGGGGGGGCTGACTTCACCTGTGGATACAAAAAACATAATTGATGTCAATTGATGTTAATTGGTTAATAAACTTATAAATACAACAAATAAGTGTATATATATATATATACATATACATGTATATATATATATATATATACATATTCCAATGTATATATGTACCCTTCAACTAATTGTCCCCCACAAACATTCCAGAGGGGTGAAGGACTCTAGGGGCAGGCTGGCCGGGCGAGTGCGGTGATCGTCAATCCTCAAAGGTTTAACTCCCACGTGTTGATGCACAACGGGACTGAAACCAACCCCTCAACAGCAAAGGATGGTAGGAGGATGTAGAAACCACCACTAACCTGATATTTTATTAAATTCACGAAGGTTGGGTTCTCAGGGCCGTCAAATATGTTGCGTATGGTTGACCCTAACAAAAGTCGCGCTTGGGCAGAACTGTTCACACCCGTAGAGTCGGACAAGACCTCCCGTTCCCCAAAACGAATTGGTCCATGAGAGGCTGCCACTATTTCCATTGGCACGTAGAAAACCTTGGCTACAGCACATCCCAATTGTGTGCGTGTGTATACCCCTGTGCAATTTAATAGGGCCGAACCTCGACGCTGTTGCAAACAAACCCGTTGCTTTTGCACCAGTCTGAGTATGCCACTTAAACCGCCATCAAACGGTCTTCTTTGTCTTCAATGTCCTTGTTTGGCTTCGCACAGATATCCGCATGACTGCTAGCATTACGAGGAGCAGTTAAATGAATACCTTCTGATCGGACATGTTGCAGGAAAGACACTGCAAATAATCCACTTCACTGTAAACGTTACACGAAGCCTGACAAAATGGTGCAAATTGGCTGCCATCAATGGATCGCGGTTCCGGCATTCCAGGGTCCATTGGCAACTCCGAAAGAGCTCAAGCAGCAAAGCGCAATACGCACCAGTGCGTAAAGGATGCCCCAAGTCAGGTCGCCAGAGCAACACTCCGAGAGATCTTCGTGGCCCAACAACTCGCCGAGGCACTCTGGTTGTGTTCCTGGACACCTGCCGCACGTATCCAGGTTTTCCCTCCTCGCCCGTGTCCTTAGCCAATTGGCCGAAAGCGGGCGATGGGTTGAGTCAAACACGCAGTCAAAGACGCGGCGATTCAAAAGGACCCACAACCCCAGATGAGCAACACCGAGCCCTGCCCTTTATTTGCTGCAATAGGTCGGGAATGACCGACAAGTGCTGGGAATGCACCGGATCCGGGGATTCCCGAAAGGAAACCAAATCGGGACGGGTCTTTTCCTCGACCTTTCAAGTTAACTCATTCCCCTATCGAACCGATCGCAAGAACCGATCGCCCAATGCGCCCAATGCGCCCAATGCGCCCAATGAGTCGCAATCAAAACCTGGTACTAAAATGGTCGTAATCCCAGAACCATGTACAGGATTAAGAAGGCGGATATCCGCAGCTATTTATGGTTGGCAGCGTCCCTTACTCACCTTCATCTTACCGGGGTTTTGAGCCAGTGGCTCCAATGCGCCCACTGCCCCCAATGCGCCCAATGCGCCCAGGCGCTTCCGGCAACCGCGGCTCAGAGGTCTCGGACGTCTCGGAAGGTTCCGCCGGCTCCTCCGCCTTCTCCGGCTCCGGCACGGCCGCCTAGAAGTGAGGGCAACACACAACTTGGGGATCAGAATCGGCCCGAGTAAACTAGTGAGTGCCCTGGCTTGGAATTGTTGTTGTATCACTGTGGCACTGCCTTGCGCTAAGGTTGCTGTGTTCCAACCAAAAAAAGGGGTTGTTTCAATTTGTTCACAAACACATGTGTATTTTCCCCACCTCACTATCCGACTAGACTTGACCGTTTGTGGACAGGTTGGTAGGTTTCGATGGGAAACCTCAAGTTGAACACCAAGGTTTCAATGAGAAACCGCAAATTGAACGCTCATTTTGTGGGGTGCCCGGTCTTTTGCCTCTACTCAGATGCCCAGTGGCCACTGGAAAAAAAGGGCACCCTTTTGTTTGGTTGGTTGAGTTTAAAGGGGAACCCTTGCAACAAAAAAAGTTAAAATCAGGAACCCACTGGGTAATAGAGTCTAAACCCCTCTCAACAGGGATCCTTACATTATACACCTGAACATTGCCTCGTAATGGTGGTCTCATGTGGTCTCCCTTTACTTTGGTGGAAAAAGCCATGTTTCAAATGGGCAAAATGTATCTTTTAAGGAGCCCTGTTTTCAAGCCAAGCCAAAACCCGAAAACCGAGGACCCAAAGAGAAACCATCATGTCTGACACTCGCATGGCTTGGGCGAAAACAAGATATTACAAATTCAGGCCTGCAAGCCGAGTGCCAATCAAGTCGTGGGCCACAAACGAACCACCCAAGCGGTAACCGTCGGCACAAAACCGTCAAACATTGGGTTCATTGGAGTCCAAGTCTGTGCCGAAACTGATGGCTGCAAGCATGGACCTTCAGAGAAAATAAGCTCTGGTGATATCCCCAACAGCATGCGGTGCTCTTTTTAGTCCCGTGCGTGGAACCTTCGCGGAACCCTGGTGGAACCCTGGTGGAACCCTGGTGGAACCTTACCTCGAAGCCGCCCCGGACCACCCCAGAGCCTATCTGGGCTGAGACCCCAAAGCTTTCAGCTGTTGGGGAAAAAAGGCTTTAACCCCACTGCACGTTTAAACCTCCAACTCAAGCTGTCCTGCATTTTAAGATGTGTTTTTTTCTCGGGAATGGGTCCGGTTCGATGAACCCACCGAGTTGCTTGTGGGGGACCCTTGTGCTTGTGAGCGGTCAACACTCGCCTGGTGCCCCGACAAGGAGCTATGTTGAATACAGACCGTTGCTTCTACGTGCAGCTCTCAAAAACCTGTTGACGGTTGGTTCCACCGAGATGAGTAAGGTTGACATAGGTCTGCTTCTCACGCGTTCAGGTCCTAGAAGCTCCCTAGCATAGCAATACACTAGCAAACTCCATTGGGTGGGGTTGGGGACAAATGCAGATCTCATAGACGCACAAGATGCGCACATGTAGCGAACATGATGCTGCTCTGCTCGCGTTGAGTAAGTGCTTCGAAATGTTCGAATCAGTTGAAGGGCCATGCCCTATTGGCCTGCGAAGAGGCTTTATCAAGCGCCCACATAAAGCTCACAAATCGTTACTGCAGTAATGTCTTCAGCATGTCTGCTGCCCCGCTATTCGCACAACAGGCCAAGCCGCGTTCGAAGTCAAGGTAGACACCTGCAAGCACAACGGTCGCCCACCGAAGCAAATCATCTCTGGCTGCGGTTGGACGCCCATGGACCCTGGATTCGTCTGAAGGTTTCAAGGACGCAGGTTGGTCGCTTGGCTGCTTGCAGATTGAACCTGCCGTCACCTCAATCCAAAGTGATGTCACGAGTTGGGCCCTTTGCGGGGATGGAATCAAGGGGGACTCAACATGTAACCAACCATGGGGCCCAGGTGTCGGCCATACAGCGGTTGCTTTTGCAACTGTCTGCAATGCCTTCCCAAACCCTTTGCCAACGCAGGGACACTAAGCAGTTAGAAGTTAGGACAATGCGAGGGGACAGTGAAGCATCTGGGTTTGCCTCTGACTGAGGGGGTTCCAGTTGATGTCCAATTCAACAAACCCAGAAGAACAACTCCTCGCAAAGAAGACCCACCGATGTTTTCTTTCCAAAGGTCCCAAGAGTAGGGCCCCCCAAGCACTGCCTTCCCCAAAGGTCCGGGTCAAGATCCGATCCCGCCTGCTTCGCCAGTCGGTCCAGTGCTAGGAGCTGCAAGGTCTGGTCCTTCACGGCAAGGACCCAAGAAAACTGGGTACTGACCCCCTCATTGCATAGGTGGAAAAAAAGAAGAAAAAACGCGGGCCATGAACCTGGCTGTGAAGGGTACCCTCCTAACGTGGAACCTGCCCGAGAGGTCCTGGAAGACCATCTTCCTTTAGAAGGGGCCTTCTGGTGGGTTCCATGTTAGTGCCACGTGAGCTGGACTCGTTATGAAGATCCCCTCCAGTAGAGAGTTTAGAAGAAGGCTACCCATTTTTTTCTCTTTGGCCTATTTTAGTAGGGGAACCCTCCCCAAAAAGGGGAGAGAAGGGCGTCACTACTAGGGGACCTAGGCGTCAATAAATGTTGGCTCTGAGCAAGGGGTGTTTTTTTTGGGCACGGCGTTTTCGCAGGGGGCTCTCCTGAGATCAACCAGGGATATGCTGTGCTTCCTTTCCATGGCGTTTGTCCCATGGCCCATTCCCTGGATCGCTTTCGCCGACTTCCAAAATCCCAGGGCCTTCTCGGGGCCGCCATGCTCGTCTTGGAGTTCAGAGGCGAAAATCTGTGGCTTTATGCTGCTTCACGCTCCGCGGTGCCAAGTGCAAGGCTCGCCTTGCGCACCCTGATTCCCTGCAAAGAGATAAAGAACTCCAACAAAATGAATCAAAAACATGAGAAGTGAGGGCCGGTGCGCCGCCTCCTGTTGCTGGGATGTAAAAGTATTGATCCCAAAATCAGATTCCCAAGCAGGGGATGGAACGCGAGCCATGATCTCCGGCCTGAAACTTGTGTCTCTCACCAGCTTTTTGGGGAGACCCTTGATCCGTCACGGTCGGGCCTTCTGCAGGCCCTGGATGTTTTGCAGCACATCCTGCAGGGCGAAGCTGACGGCCTGCGAGGCGATCGATTTGCGGAAGGCAACTGGGCGTGGCAAGCGCTGCGGCTTTCGGAAGAGCAGCCGGGCGGGGTCCAAAAGTCGCGGAAGCCAAAAATGGGTTGCATGCAAGCTTCGGTAAATGGGGTCCATGCACAAAACCCTGCGGTCCATTTCCTGGTCTAGTTTTGACCCATAACGTGTCCTGGCTCAGTTTTCACCCATACCCAACTGGCGGCTGACACGGCAACGGGCCGCCATCTCGAGAGGCCCGCGCACCTCTGAGGTAAGACTCGTGCGGCTGCAGGAGCGCCTTGGCAGCAAAGGAACGAGCCCCGAACGAGCCCCCATCGGGTGAAAGCCACGAAAGGTGGACGTCCTGGAAATGTGCCGAGAGACAAGTTCAGCACAGAACTGGAAAACTGGAGACTCCCCCAAAAAGGGGCGCACAAAATATAATAGAACTCGTGCCTTGCCAGGCCCCATGTTCTGCCGGCGCGGTGAGAAAAAAACCTTGCCTGCGTATCATTGAAAGTTATCATTCCTCAGACCACGGAGTGCCATCTCTCGCTTCACACTTCACCCCCCGAGGCTCGAGGCCCGAGGCTCGAGGCTCGGCAAGGCTCGGGGAACCAAACTTGGCCGCCCGACAAAAGGCTCATGTCGCGGCGGGGAGGACTGCACCAAATGGAGCCAGCTGCAAAGACACAAATTCGGAAACGGGCGGATTGTGAGTCTCCCACAATGCGCCAGACGCAGCAATGGAAAACAGCCAAAATAATTAGTTCACTACTTGCAAACAGTTCCCGGCCTTTTCCTTTTGGCAGGTTCCGGCTCGCACGACTGGCAACAAATCAAGATCCAGCACTACTGGAGGAAAAGGGTTAAAGGCCAACTTAGATCTATATTTTGCGACTGGATCTAGGGCAGACCGACTTGCTACACGCAGCCATTGCCTTGTGAGTTGGTTTGATTCCCACGTGAGAGTTTCCAAGGCTTCGAGGCCCTTACCTTTGGAATCAGAAGGATTGCTTGGTTCTTTGGGTGCTGAAGGCCCCTCAAATAATGCATGGCTTTTGCTCGAGCGGCGGTTTCCTGCCAATATGCCCTTTCTCACCCACCATGCCGCCTGGTGGGCATGGCTTTGCCTGGCAGCTCTAATTTCGTTGTCTGAAGGACTCATGACTCAGCTTGGAATCGCTTAAACCTTGCCCTGGCACAGAGCGTCCTTCGCAAAAGGCATACTTACAAGCGGTCTCGAGATCATGAAACGAAACACGCTGAAGTTTGCACAAGCACTCTTGACAAGTGCTTGAGGCTCCAGCAAAGCATGCAAACATTTGTAACCCCGTGTACTGTGTCATGGGAGAGATGTCCTCATATGCATGATATGTACAAATGCATACTGAATATATACATATGTATATATATATAGTAGATGCAGTACTTGGTTTGGACTCAGAATAACTAAGAATGCCTCAGAATACCTCAGCGCGCTTCAACTCGCGACCAGACTGCAATGGTGAAACCGATTGACATTTGAGCCATGCCGGCTCAGGTCGGCTGACCGAAACGACACCGATCGGCCTGGAGGGAGCGAAGGGAGTGTGAGCCTTTATCACCCTTGCACAACTGGTCTCAACATAGGGACCCCCAAAATGGTGGGCTTTATTGGATGTCCTGTTGGTTTTTTCGTGGAACCCAGACCGAAAAGGGGTACGCTCAACGAAAGATACACCCAGAGTATCTTGCAACAAGCTGAGGGAACCTAACTCAATGATGTGTGTGGTTCTCGAATCTGCTAGAGACCCCAGGCTCACGACACGCTCAGGCAAATCTGAGAACCGCATCCCCTGCTCATCCATAGATTTACAACCTGCACCAGGAGCTGAGTGATAGTGAGGATCAAGGGCGGCCAATTGCTCCGAGGATCATGGACATGGCTGCAAATATGTGTGCTTCACCACACAAATGACCAAAAGAGCTCTGGTTGCCAGACCCATGTCTGGGCTGAATAGCTGTGCTAAGCAGGTTTAACTGGCTGGGCATTTCTCTTACTTTCAACCTGAGACGTGTTCGAAAAGTTGCAGGGGATCCATTGTCTTATGCGTCAGGGGATCCATTGGACAACGAAAACGTACAATTCTGGCACAAAGTCGGTAGGTTGAACACAATCCCTGTCAACCACCAACCCAAGTGTGCCTTGAGAGTTGAGGATTGCATTCAGCCTGGACATTATGAACCAAGAATACTGCCCACATCACATGCTTGGCCTTGAAAAGGAACGAAGCATTCGGACGCCGTTGCAAAAACGTCCATGTCGCATAGGCTTCATTGGTTGACTGATGGAAACTCGGAGCACCTTTGCCGGCCCCCCGCGCCCTCAGCACTCAGCATCCCCGGTATCCCGCCATCCCTGTTATTGGCCCTGCTAACCTTCACCCATCCTAGCCAATCTCTGGCAACCATGCAACCCCTCTACACCAACTCCCAAAAACAAACCCGGCTTTCCTTGAACCAAGCCTAAACCTAGTACCAGCTCTAAGCCCGTACATGACATAGCTCAAATTCACACCAAACTCACCTTAAAGCAGCCCGTATTCTAGACAGCCCAATGTGTCTGTAACCCCCGCCATCCTGCGCGTAGCTAACAGAAGAGCTAGCATAGCATAAGCGCATGGAGCGGCCTGCCAACAGCGCTTGCCTGTGTGTTTTTGCAGCAGCGGCTTGCCATCACAGGCGGCCCACCAAACAGCAGTTGTCAGCCGAGCAAAAATCGGGAAACCGGCCGTGCGCAAACCAAACGGAGCCTTGGCCTACATTTTCTCACTGTTCTAGAAACTTCCGACCACCGGCTCCGCCACCTTTGTGTTGTATATGTCAACATGCGCAAAGGTCCAACCAGGTCAAGCGTGCTGATTCAAGATACCTCAACCCCCCCCCTTTTTCAGCCCACCTCTCAGAGCCTCACGTCCGGCTTGTGCGCACCTGGGAAACGGGAAGTTTTGTCCGATAGCTTCGGTTTCTACCCATCACGACGATTCTTTCAGCGTCCTGGTTTGTGGCTCCCGGTCAATTTTGTGATGTCGACTAACTATTGGCAGCTTCTGCTTTGCTTGTGGTTCCCGGTGGATTTTGACATGTCATACCGTCCAAGCGGTCCCACACTTGGCAGAATGTAGCCGGATGGTTGAGCCCCCGTCGCAAAAGTCAGTCACGAAGCCGAAAAAGGAAGAGGCCTGACCTTCTGCATGACTCATAGAACAAAAACATGCAGAGCAAGCCATTCTACCTGCACAAGCATTCATGATTCCCATATGCTCCTGGATGTCAATCTGCTGAGGATTTTTTAACAATCTACCAGCTGGCGAACTGAAAAAACGACTGACGTCCATCCCCTCCGCACAGAGCTCGGCCCAGCGACGTCCGGTGAGCCAGGGTCCGGGCAGTCGTGGCCGGCACCGCCGACGTTGTAGCCACTGCAAGGGCCGATGCCCTGCCCGGCGCTCTCTCGCGGAGCAAAGCGAAGCACGGCTCGCGCGAACGAGGACATCAAGTTCGCAAGTGGCCCTTGGTGCTGCCTGGCGAATCAAGGATAGAGACCCTTTGAAATGGCAGGCAAGGAGCTGTGTGCGCGGTTCGCTTGCAGTCACACCCAGGCAATTGAGCAGCCAAGTTCACTCCACGCGTCACTGACATGTTGAAGGCTGCAAACCTGGTAATTGCCATGGCCTCGATTCTCAAAGGCACAGTGTCAACCCCTCGCCAGCTTTCAGTTCAAGCATCCATTCCCGAAAGCCACACCTATTGGGGATTCGAACGGTGAAAATGTCCTGTTCCCTCCAGACATAATCTACAGGTTCATCCCGCTTTTTGAGTTACCGCCTCAATTCCTGCACCCAAATGGATTTCCAGGCATATGCCAAAGCCCGCGTCTCCTTGTGATTTGGTGAAGGGGGATCTACCTCTCTCAGGGTACGACTTAAAAGCGGGGGGTCCCCACCACGCCTTCGCGTTTGCCTGTGCTCAGCCCGGGCTGTCAACAAGTTCCACATGGACCCCGGGTCGCACGGCTTTCCTTTCCTCGGATTTAATCAAAATGCCACGGGGTGGGGGTCCCACGGCTTTCCTCGGATTTGATGTTGAAGAGGTTGAAGCAGGGCGACTCGTACTTGCAGCAGCTCAGAGGTCCTGTCTGAGCCGCCGGGGATCCACAGGGAAAGCTTCTGCCGCATGGCTTCGCTTGGCCAGGGGTCAAAATCCGAATCGTACCCCCAGTGAACATCCCAATCCCGACTAAAATGGGTGGTGGACCTACCCCAAAATGGTACCATTGGTTTTGACCCACAGCCACTTTGCTTCTTTTCGGAGCCACCAACTCAGAAGGGATCCAAAGCCGGTTTCCTCATGGGCGGACTCGCAGATTGTTAATCCCCTCCCCTCTCCCCCGCTGCTGTTTGCAGGTGGAGGCCCTTTTAGGGCAGGCGCAACAACTTGCCTCGCGAGGTCCAACAGCACAAGAGGCCCAGAGAATTGACACGAGCCCGCTCACTTCCGCTCAAGCGGAGGGCCCAAGAAAAAGTCCTGGAACTTTTTTCACTGCCAACATGGTCTTCCCAAAAAGTATAGAGTCCATGCCCTGAGTGAGACTAGAGAGAATCCGGGTGGTGGCAAACTGGGCCATCTGCACCTCACCGGGCACAACACCAAAGGTTTTGCTTCCGGATACGGGGGCCGCCAGGTGAGCCACGGACATTGATGCTTTGCGCGGGCATGGTGTCAGTGCATAGTTTGAACGGTCCAAGCTGTTTGCCACTAAAATGGTCTTCCCAAAAAGTTTGAAGTCCATAAACTCAGGCAGTGAGTTGTGGACAAGTGAACATCTCCCCAATGCCATCCTCAGATACTCAAGGTTGAAGGTGGAAGACAGGCAAACTGCACTGGCCAACGGCCAAATAAGACCACATGCATTCGCTTGTTCGTGGAAGCTTCCACACGTGGGAGACATGCTCAATCAGTTGTTTAAGACACCGCAATGCCTGCACAGTGTAACTGATGTTCTCCCCAAGTATGCTACTTGCAGGTTTCCTTTCAGTTCCCTTTGGCTTGAGGTTAGGCAACTGATTTCTCCAGCATGTACAAGCTGCGTGTACACACACACCCCAAGACACGACAGCCGACTACGTCTTTGCAGCTGTCTGATGTCTCCAGCATCCTCCACCCCTCCCCTCCTACGCGGTAGGCGTACTGATTCTCTGTCAGCGTGGCCTTAGAAGAGGCGAAGGCCGCTCTTAGGGGTCTCCGTGGGTTTGTAGAGATGTCCCCTTTTCGCATCGCTCGAAGTGTTTGACCTTGGTAAGCTGCGCTCCGAAACCACCAGGTGTCGTTTTGAGGGTACAAGGACTGGTCGTGCATTGTGGCTGCAACCGTGAACCGCCAGGCCCTTCCCTCTTGTAGGCGAAAAAGGCATGTTGCATCAGGGAACAAAAGGCAAACCCACGGTGACATGGAATTATTCGTACTAAATCGCAAGGCTCCAAATAGCCAGGGTTCATTAGCTTAGCTTTCGCTCATCAACCATCGCAAACCAACACCACATAAGCATCCGGACGCATGGAGCGTAGCACATGCCCTCGAAGATCTCCTGGGGAGAAGAGAGAGAGAGAGAGAAAGAAAAAGAAAGAAAAAGAAAGAAAGAA